GACTACAGTCACCCCTTGACTAAGTCTCTGCTGCTCTCCTTCTCTGAGGTCCGCCTGCTTTTGAATGGGACATGGAGCGGCGTGGAAGGAGCACAAGGTGATGACCGTCACGCCGGTGTCCTCACAGTGTGCTTCTTGCTGGTAGAGAAGGAAAGTTCCAGGAACCTTCTCTTGGTCCTTACTGTCCTGGCATCCCTCATTCCATAGGCAGAGAGCGAAACAGACTTTCCCAGATGGCAGTTTATAAGGAGTGGGACCTTGCTCCATGGACCTCATGGTGACGAAGGACGACCAGGTGACCTCACTTTGGGGAGTCACAGCAGTAGCACTGGGACCCATGGATTAGAATCAAAGTCTAAGCCAAGCATGGGGGTACGCAAGGGCAGTCCCAACAACAGGGGAGGCTGAGGCAGGAGGCTTGCAAGTTAAGTAACTTAGCAAGACTATGTTTGAAATGAAAATAAACAGGGCAGCCGATGCCATGAAATGTGTGGTAGAGCATCCCTGGGTTTGAACGCCAGTGTTGCAAACCAGTCTAGGCTGGCCCCAGGCAGGTCCCTGCCAGGCCACCCTGGGGGTCGTGGCACCAGATCGCACTGGTCTTTCCCCACCCAGATGCCACTTGTAGGGATCTAGACCTGCTGGTCTGTTGCCCTCACCCAGGGCTGAAGGAGGATGGAAGGTTCCTTTTTTTTTTTTTTTTTTGGCTGGCTCAGGCTGCCTAAGGGTGGGTTGATGCTGGGGAACGAACCGCGGTCCCCTGCGCCTGACTGAGTTTGCCCAAGCAGGCACTTTAGACAACTGAGCTAACCCGCAAGGCCCTGAAGGAGGATGAAAGACAGACAGAGGCAGCCACGGGGCTCTCAGCGCTGGGGCAGAGAAACCCCAAGTGTCTGGCTCCTCTTGAGTGCATGCACTCAGTCACAGGTACAAGCAATTAAGTGACAATCTCTCTGGCTTTCCTGTGCGTGCCCAGGCTAATGGCCTGAACGCAGCAGCGCCGGCCTTGCCCTAAATCCAACAACGCCATCATCTGCGTGTGCTGTTCTCCTCGTGCTCACAGAGGCGGCAAATGCGGCCTCACTTCTCCCCCGTCTCTCACGCTCCAGAACCCGGAAGAGCCCAGGCTCTAATCCCTGGAAGGGCAGGTTATCTTCTTTTCTTCCCACTTGACACAGCCATGTAATAAATGTATACAGTCCTAATTGAAGGGAGGATTTAAGATACACTTCGAGAATTATTTAGTATTTGCGTGTGTGTGTGTGTGTGCGTGCGTGTGTCTGTAGTCTTGCTTGATTGGTTTGTACTGGAGTTTGAACCCAGATCTTTTATGCTGTTACATCCATCCCTTTTCATAATTTTTTTTTTTTTAATTTTGGTGGAGCATGGCGGCATATACCTATAATCTCAGCACTCAGCAGGCTGAGACGGGAGGATCACTGAGAGTTTGACGCCAGCCTGGGCTACATAGTGAGTTCAAGGCCAGCCTGAACTGCATAGTGAGACCCTGTCTCAAAAAAAAAA